TTGTGGTTTTATATCTAAACTCTTTACCAGTCAACCAAAACCAAAGAACCCAGAATCAATCTGCAGGCCAGGCAGTCACAGTGATGCAGCCATTTGAGAGGCTGTTTAACAGCTGCATGTACCACTCTGGCTTGTATTCTGGCTTGTCCGAGGCTGACTCAGTACTGTGTTAGTAAGGGCTTACTCAGTGCTTTCTGATACCTTTCCTCTCGCAGTGAGAACTAGCCTAACAAGCACAGATTCAACCCTGATGTGTGTGGATTAAACAGCCACCTTACTGGAGATTACTTTTTTATCTGGTGCATGGTAAGTGATTACAGCCACTCACTGAGGATGGATGGATGGATGGATGGGTGGATGGATGGACGGACACTTTAACTCTACCCACATGTATATATTACTTCAACTACCTCAACTAGCCGGTGCCCCCGCACATTGACTCTGCACCGGTACCCCCCTGTATATATAGCCTCCCTACTGTTATTTTATTTTACTTCTGCTCTTTTTTTCTCAACACTTTTTTGTTGTTGTTTTATTTTACTTTTTTATTAAAAATAAATGCACTGTTTGTTAAGGGCTGTAAGTAAGCATTTCACTGTAATGTCTGCACCTGTTGTATTCGGCGCATGTGGCCAATACAATTTGATTTGATTTGATTTGATTTGACTTGTTTCCTCTTTTCCTTTTCTCCCCCACCTCATCCTCTCACTGCCTCTGTGTCAAATACCTTCTGAAGATTGCTGTATTAAAGCCACGTCCTGTAGTTGGCCAAATCTCAAGCAGCCAAGTTAGCGGTCTCTGCTGCTGCCTGTGTGTGTGTGTGTGTCGTTTCATTATGTAAATGCTGAATCGGCTGTGTTGTATCTTGCCCACATCGTGCTGTCTGATATAATCTGCACACAGCAGCATTTCTAACCTGAGGCTGGTAGGCCTCACACATTCACATAAAAGAGCTGGTCTTGTTGTTTGTGATGTTTGTCTCCTGTGAATTAGTGTGTGAGTGTGTGTGTGTGTGTGTGTGTGTGTGTGTGTGTGTGTGTGTGTGTGTGTGTGTGTGTGTGTGTGTGTGTGTGTGTGTGTGCATATGCGTGTGTGCAACTATGCTTACTAGCATGCATTTGCATGCTGAATTGTGTCTGTGTAAAGGTGGCAGAGTGACTTGACCTTGTTTGTCTCTGTGAGGAAGAGAGTTGATTTTCCTACTTCTATTAGGTTCCAGCGCCCACCCAGTCATGGCAACCCTCCAGAGGCCTAGTGCCTGCCTGCTGTCTGGCTCTGTGCTGAGGACAATCTGGGAGCACTGCCTGAGCGGCAGGTGGCATCAGGCCACAGCAAACACATTCCTCCCCCTGGCAGCGCTGGACTGGAGGAAAGGCTGGTGCTGGCCACAGCCGGTTCTGCTCTGCTCTGCTAGAGGATCTTTGCATTGATCAACACCTTGTAGACTACATCCTGGGTTATGTGGAGATTTAAGGAAGTTCCTGATTCAAAGCGTTAGGTCTCTGTCCATGCTGTTGCTTTCATGACCTAAACAGAAGAGATTGAGTCAACACACTTGCTTGTGACAGTGAAGTTTATTTTGTATGCTTGCCCACTTTTTTTTGTTTGTGGTTTTGAAGCAGAGACAATTAAATGTTTACAGGAAAATTTTTTGACATAGGCTATATTTTGTAATCCCTGTTCAGGAGGCATGCAGGACTATAACTACCTGAAGCCCACTTCCTGTTCCTGCCAGGCTAGGCCAGACAGGCACTCTCCTCTATGGGCTATGTTCCAATATCCATTCTAGCATTCCACTTAGAATGCCTAATACATTGCTTCACTCACATAGTAAGCTTGTACCGATATTGGAACAGAGGCCCAATATTGGAACAGAAGCCTGGGTTCTGGCCTCAGTCCATGTCTCTAGCTCTACTTACTGTTATTGACACTGACATTATTACATTTAACAGATACAAGTAGCTATCCTTGATAGTGTCACGCCTACTCCTGCTCCCTCTCTCCAGCGCTCGACGTCGCCGGTCTACTAACTAATGGCCCTGGCAACCATTATTACACACACCTGCTCCCCATCATTACGCACACCTGCTCCCCATCATTACGCACACCTGGACTTCATCATCACCTTGATTACCTTCCCTTTATTCAGCCCTCAGTAGCCTTAGTCATCAGGCAGTATTGGTTTGTTTTCATGTTCAGTACGCATCCCCTGTTTTGTTCATTTGCCTTGCATCATTGTTATTCAACTCTCCTTCTGCACCTGCTTCCTGACTCCCTGCGTATATGTGACAGAATACTGCCTCACAATATGGAAGCAGCAGAGGAGAAAACCATCTTCCAGAAGATCCAGGAACAGGATCATCTACTCCACCAACACCACGACCAGCTGGCGCAACTGGGTATGGCCATGGAGGAGGTTCTCCACATTCTCCACCGCCTCGACACCACCAGCGAGGCTCCCCATACCCCTATCAGAGGGCCTCCTACCACGGGTCGTCACAGTGAGCCAGTCCCCCAGCCTACCCAGCCGTCCATCCAGGTCAGCGATGCCCTACTGTCCCTTCCAGAGAAGTATGACGGTACTCCATCGAAATGTTGTGGCTTCCTACTCCAGTTCTCCCTCTATTTCGCCCATCAGATGGGAGCCCCCACCACCGAGAGGTCCAAGGTTGCCACAGTCAGTTCCCTGCTGACCAGACGGCGTTGGAGGAGGAGCTGGGTTCCTATGAGAGGTTGATGGCTCTGTTCAGGGCGATCTTTGACCATCCTCCAGAGGGCAGAGAGGGAGGTGAGCAACTTCCCCAACTGCAGCAGGGTGCCCAGACTGCTGCAGAGTACGCCCTCACCTTTCGGTCTGTGGCAGCCTCCAGTGGCTGGAATGAGCCGGCATTTCGCACTCTCTTCCGGTGAGGACTGCGCGATGAGGTCACCGACGGAGTTGGCGTATCGGGATGACAACCTATCCTTGGACGCACTCATCGTGATCCGTCTGGATAACCTTCTTCGGGAGCGCTGGTGCCCACCACTCGCCTCCCTCCTTTGGCTGTCCTGAAACAGAGCCTGAACCCATGGAGGTAGGGGCCACACACCACTCCCAGGCAGAGCGGCGTCGCCAGAGACTGCTGTGGCTTTGTCCCTATTGCGGCCAGGAGGGGCACCAGCTTCATCGGTGTCTGGTGCGTCCCAACCTGGAGTCCACTAGGGCAGAGGGGCGACCACGTGATCTTCCGTCTCACAGGGTAGGCGTGAGTATTCCATCATCATCGTTTTCCGCCAAACCCTTTCTGGTAACCATTTCACTGGCTGGCTGTCCGTCAGGTGTTGTCTCTACAGCTCTAGTGGACTCCGGTGCCGCAGGGAATTTCATCGACAAAATGTGGAAAAAGTCAAGGGGTCTGAATACATTAAAATGCACTGTAAATGAGTGTCCTGTGACCTTACTGACCTCTCTTTGCCAAATGTGTTAAAAGGACACTATGGTGAAAAATTAGAAAAAAAATAGCTATTATATGGTGTCCCTGGATATTATAAAGATGACTAACATGTACTGTAGAGGCCAACTCTTTCTGATCTACAGGTGCCTAGACTAAGGGCTGGGGCTTGTTTGTGGATATTTTCTCCCTCTCCCTCTCCCCCTTTAGCTGGGTCTCCCACGCTCAGACCTTCCAGGTCCAGTCTCTGCGCCGCATCCAGCAGTGAGAGCTTCCACGGCCTCCTCCCTTTTTCACCCCTCCTCCTCTTCCTCCTCTCCCTCCTCCTCCTCTTATCCTTCCTCCACCCTATCATTCCAAGCTTGGCCAGTAGTCCTGTCAGACCTCTAAGACCAACGGCTCCTGACGCTTCTGGTGCTCCACAGCGACAAAGATGTTTACAGCACTTTTGTTTTGTTCCATCGCCGAAAGAAGAAAATCGAGAAAACGAGAGAATAAGAAAGAAAAGAAAAGTGAGGGATACGCCCCACAGTGAGCGGAGAGAAGGGTCTCGGGTGGTACGACTCAGGCTTTGATGCTGTTCTCAGTGTTGTCACAGGGAATTCACAGCCACAGTGATCAATAAAGAAAGAATGAGCAACAAAAATAAACAGCGATACAAAAGTCTGCTATTAACCTGCTCTGGGGTCAATTGTCTTTACTTGTTTTAACAGTTTTTTCTCTCTACTCTCTACTAGTATATTTTCTCAGCAGTTCTCAGTAGTCCCATCTCCTTGAACAAACCATTTCCACCCTTGGTTATAAGAAATATAGGAAATATTAATATTAAGCGTCTACTAAGTGGACCTTCATACCAAAAGCAAACTATATTACACCCTATAGCACACAAATACAAACCCCAGAAATCTAAACTATTTTAGCCATAATGCAAAATAAAATACAAAGCTTCAATCATGAGTGAAATGAAATACTTTGTGTGAAGTAAAATGTTTCAATTTAACCAAGCTCTATTGAGATGTCATGAAGAGTTTATCCAACACTGCCCCTCTCAGGCAACACTAAAAAAAACAGTCTGTCTCAATTCAGTACCATTCTCCATCTGAAATATTGAGCATTATAGGACAAATCGTGCCTAAATGCATGGTAACTGTCAGGCTTATCCAATGCAATTTGGTAGTTAATAGCCTATTCTGTATGAGGAATATGTTTGGGAAATTGAGTCTATGGAAATATTGAGACAACAAAGGCAATGTACAACCTACCACGTTCCATGAATATTTATACAATGCATTGCAATGCATTTTTTATATTACAATACTGGCTAATATTGACAGATATCAATGTACAGAACTAAAATACTGTACTGTATTCTCAAATAATATATTCTGCAAAACACTTTAAAAAGAGGCTCCTCCTCAAGGAGAGTGACATCAACCAAAGCCCCGCCCCTATGAAAGCGTAACGGGAAGTTGGATGCATACAGTCTGGGTTAGCTAGATAGCTTTGTCCTCATCGTTTACCTTTTTATTTCACAAGAGTGGATGTTGAAGAGGTAGGAGAGTCGGAAACATGGCAACATATTTGCGGGAGCATCGACATTCAGCGTCGAAACTATGCGTCTCACTTTTCGTCTTCCTCCTTTTTGTTGTTGTCCCCATCACGGCTCTGAGCGTCGGCGAGGCGAGGCTTGTCAGAAGCAACACCGCCGCGAAAGAGGAGGTAGAAGACTATACAAAATACTACAATTATGTGGAAATGACCCGGCTACTGAAGTTCATGGCCCTGAAATACCCTCACATTGCCAACCTGTCCAGTATAGGCCAGTCCGTGCAGGGCAGGGAGTTGTGGGTTATGCGAATCACAAAGGACCCCAACGCTGACGTACCGGGAAAACCCAAATGTAAATACGTGGGGAACATGCACGGGGACGAAACTATCTCGAGGCAAGTATTGGTGTACCTTGTGGACTACCTATTGACGAGGTATGGAGAGGACCCGCGTATCACGGAGTTGGTGACGAGCACGGATATTTACATTATGCCCAGTATGAACCCAGACGGGTTCGAGAGGTCCAGAGAGGGGGACTGCAGTGGCGACGCGGGGGGTCGTTCCAACGCCAGGGGCATGGACCTCAACCGAAGTTTTCCTGACCAGTTTGACAACATCAACGTCCAACAAGAGGATATTCCCGAGGTTACAGCTGTCATTAAATGGATCCTGGAGAAAAGGTAAGTATTTCTTTCTCTGATCTATTTACATAGACCTACATACACCATGATGTGTGTTTGTTTAGTTTACATTGTTTATAACCAAATGCAGATGGTGAGATGGGGCTCAAATGTATGGGCTACACCATGGGTAGGCAATCCGTTTCCTGGAGTGGCCCAGGTACTGCATAATTTTGTTCAGACATAGGCACCACACCTGACCAACTGAGATAATTGATCACTTCACTAATTACCTACATTCAACACGCCACACACCTCATCTTCCAGGTTGTAAAAATATGAAGTGCCTGCGACACTCCAGAACCCTGGGCTACACAGACATCCCTTACTGCAAATGATAACTGCTGCAACCAAGGACTTTACTGGCAGCCTGCATCTATCATTGTTCCTATTGTTCTGAAGCACCTCCTCATGGACCCTAAATACCCCCTCCCTCCCCCTGAAGGATCTCTCCATTTACTGTTGCCAGCTAACAGTTGGGAATGCCCTCGATCAACATCAGACTCCAATAGGCCAACATAAGTAGCCTGCCATACAACTTTAGGCCGGCCACCTTTGTCTAAAGACCTGTCAAAATAAACACTATACCTCCTCTTCCAGCTGTCACTGAACAAACAGCTGTTGAAAAACATCTAATGATGTCCTGTTATTGCATATAGTTAATTTTATTAAATCACTGTGATATCTATGGGAACACAATAGCCCACATCAAATCACATTTTATTTGTCACATGCGCCGAATACAACAGGTGTCGACCTTACCGTGAAATGCTTACTTACGAGCCATTAACCAACAATGCAAAAAAATATATAAAATAAAGGAAGTAAGAAAAATTTGTTAACTAAAGGAATAATAGTACCACTATAAAATAACAATAATGAGGCTATATACAAGGGGTACTGGTACTGATTCAATGTGCAGGGGTATGGGTTAGTTGAGGTAATATGTACATGTAGGTAGGGGAAAGTGACTATGCATAGATAATAAACAGAGCGTGTGAAGGAATGTTACAGTGTGTTAGAGTGTCAGTGTGGGATATGTGAATGTGTGGTTAGAGTCCAGTGAGGAGGGTACATCGAGCCTGTGCAAAAAAATTATAATAAATAAGGTGGTCAATGCAAATAGTCTGGGTAGCCATTTGATTAGCTGTTCAGGAGTCTTATGGCTTGGGGGTAGAAGCTGTTAAGGAGACTTTTGGACCTAGACTTGGCACTCCGGTACCGCTTGCCATGCGGTAGTAGAGAGAACAGTCTATGACTAGGGTGGCTGGAGTCTTTGCCAATTTTTAGGGCCTTCCTCTGATAACGCCTGGTTTAGAGGTCCTGGATGGCAAGGAGCTAGGCCCCAGTGATGTACTGGGCCGTGCGCACTACCCTCAGTAGCGCCTTGCGGTCGGATGCCGAGCAGTTGCCATACCAAGCGGTGACGCAACCAGTCAGGATGCTCTCGATGGTGCAGCTGTAGAACTTTTTGAGGATCTGAGGTCTCATGCCAAATCTTTTCAGCCTCCAGAGGGGGAATAGGCGTTGCCGTGCCCTCCACACGACTGTGTTGGTGTGTTTGGACCTTGATAGGTCCTTAGTGATGTGGACACCAAGAACTTGAAGCTATCGACCCGCTCCACTAAAGCCCCGTCGATGTGAATGGGGGCGTGCTCGTGTGTGTACTTCAGCTCAGCCTCAGTTAAAGGTTTCCCCCCTTTCCCTTCCCCTTGACCATAAGATGTAGGCTACAGACAGACTGTAGATACTAGGCCTACTATATATCCCCTGCCTCCTGATACATTGTGTTGTTGTTGTGTCCCTCCAGGTTTGTCCTGTCAGGGAACCTGCATGGTGGCACTGTGGTGGCCAGCTACCCCTTTGATGACTCAGCCTCCCACAAGATGCAGGGTTACTACAGCCGCTCTGTGGACGACAACCTGTTTAAACACCTGGCGCTGACCTACGCCAAGAACCACCCCGTCATGAGGACCGGGGAGCCCAAGTGCCCAGATACCCCCGACGAGACTTTCGAGGATGGCATTGTCAACGGGGCAAAGTGGTACGATGTACCCGGTAAGACTTTTTCCTCCTTAACTATCAGACCACTGATGATGCTCTTTGGGGAGCCAAGGTCATGTTATTTTTCCTTATTAGTTTGTTGAAAAAGAGGATATGGTTCACACACAAAGTAGTCTAGACCAGCTCCAGTATTTTCCTTTTGTAATTTATTTTCTTCTCTTCTTCATAATTTGTCTTTCCATTTCTTGAGAAAATATCTCCAGCGGCTTTTAAAAAATCATTTCACTCATTATCCCACCTCACCTCTCTCAGAACAATCACACATTATTGTTGAAACAGAGAGCGGAGTGCTGGGTTGCCCTGACAATTAGGTCCATTGGGGTCTATTTAAAAATGTTCTCTCTTCTCAGAGACTGACGACATCATGTGATAATTTTACCTCTCAGGTGTTCATAATCAGCTGGATATCAGGTTTTACTCAGCTCAGTGTTTCATGAGTTCATGGAGACACCTTAACATTAATATTGAATGACATGTAGGCCTATAGTAAGGGAAAAAATCTATATGATAACATGTATAGTGTGGGCTTTCACTGCCATGGTACAGGCTTCCTTTTTGTCATTGGGACAAAGCCTTATGTGTGATGTCTAGGCTATGGGTTGCCATGAAAAGGGGTTAATTAATTAGTGTGATTGTATCCTCTGTCTTTGCTACTGTACATTTTCCATGGCCCAATTTTCACTTAATATATTTCCCTCAACTAATTTTGGGTCTATTTGAGAACCAAACCACAGCTGTGATTGTCTGTCTAGTCTTAGTTTAAAACCCCACTATTTAGGCTATTAAATCAGAGTACGGCTTTTAACATACAGGTGTTCCATTGCGCTGACTTCACTATCTAGCAGAGCAGCTGTGGCAGGGGACAACACACCCAGCTAGCTAGTATTGTACTATTCACCCCTGCAGGGCAGACCTGCTCGCTGTTCTCTCCTCACAGAAAGCCCGACTGGTCTCAGGTTATCCTATCCGTCTTTTACGAGCTGTCTGTGTGTGTGACACCACCTGTCCATGCAGCTACCCCCCCCTTAATGTTCAGGAATACCAGTGTCTGTGTTCCACAGGCAGTAACTGGACCCCCAGTCTCTGTGTTGTGCTGTGTGGCTGCTGGCAGGTCAGGTCAGGGGTTTGGAAAGAGAGCCAGACGAGGGGCGATGAGATGATACTCTAATCTGAGTCTGAAGGTTTCAGGCTTTTCCTGTATAAACGTGTGTTGTCATCACCCTATGTGTGTGTGTGTGACTGTTTATCATGTGTCTGTGTGGGAGTGTAATAGGGGGTTGTGAGTTCCAGGTATATTCTCAGCCATTCCTCAATAATACCTGAATCTGCTCTAACAGACTGCCTCTGCTTCAGTTGTAAATTATGACTTGGCAGAAGACTAATTCTGGTTTCTTCATCATAACTCACCTGAATCTAAATTGACTGCCTCTTGTAGTTAATGGAGACTGCAGGGGATAGATATCATCAGAGGAAATCTGTGTTCTATAAGCACGATCAAAGGAACAGCAGAGGTGTCATTTAAAGGTGAAACTAGGAGGTGTAAAGTTTAGGTGTCTTAACAAGTAATGAATTTGAGAATAGATTTACACAATGCTTAATGAGGAAATGACAGGAGGGAATTGTACCCAACGATATCGTAAGATCTTATTAGAACATTAAGAATGTGAGTTTAGAATCTAGCTAATTGTCATTATGACCTTCTGAGAGGTGACTGAGAGAGAAAGAGAGGAGAGAGAATTATAGGGAGGGAGGGAGAGGTAGAGAAAATGGGGAGAGAAGGAACGTTTAGGTACTTGGCAGTGTGGGTTGACTTGGATAATTGCAATAGATCACTGATAACCTTTTGACAAGCTTTTTTTGTAGACTCATTTTATAGCTAATTTACCCCTTTCCTCTATGCCAGGGGTGTGAAACTCATTCCATGGAGGGCCTAGTGCAGCATTTCCCAAACTCGGTGCACGTTTTGGTTTTTGCCCTAACAATACACAGCTGATTCAGATGATCAAAGCTTGATTATTAGTTTATTATTTGAATCAGCTGTATAGTACTAGGGCAAAAACCAAAATGTGCATCCCTTTGGGTCCCAAGGACAGAGTTTGGGAAACCCTGGCCTAGTGTCTGCTGGTTTTTCCTTTCAATTAAGACCTAGACAACCAGGTGAGGGGAGTTCCTATACTAATGTGACCTTAATTCGTCAATCAAGTACAAGGAGCAAAAGCTGCAGACACTCTGCCCTCCATGGAATGAGTTTGACACGTGCTCTATGCTATTGTCTACTAGATTTGACATACCTGTAGTTTACACAGGCATATAGGCTACTCCTAGGGAAAAAGCCTTGAATCAACTGGATGTACACTGAGTGTACAAAACATGAAGAACACCTGCTCTTTCCATGACCTAGACTGACCAGGTGAATCCAGGTGAAAGCTATGATCCCTTATTGATGTCACTTGTTAAATCCACTTCAATCAGTGTAGATGAAGGATTTTTAAGCCTTGAGACAATTGAGACATAGATTGTGGATGTGTGCCATTCAGAGGGTGAATGGGCAAGACAAAAGATTTAACTGCCTTTGAACGGTGTATGGTAGTAGGTGCCAGGTGCACAGGTTTGTGTCAAGAACTGCTACACTGCTGAGTTTTTCACGCTCAACAGTTTCCCATATGTATCAAGAATGATCCACCACCCAAAGGACATCAGCCAACTTCACACAACAGTGGGAAGCATTGGAGTCAACATGGGCAGCATCCCTGTGGAACGCTTTCGACACCTTGTAGAATCCATGCCCCGACGAATTGATAAACTGATAATTCATGAACAGTTTATAAACTACTTGGGCCTATAGGCTATTTATAGCCTAAATCATTTTAACTAGCCTAGTCCTTTTACTCACTAGCAATACCCAGTGCTCTGTTTCTGACTGTTCATACTTGGATGACAACAGTCAGTTCCGTTGTTCTTGGTACCCTGTGGTATCTCTTATGTCCGGTTTAGTGTTTGTTATCATGACTTAGCATGAGGCTTGAAAAATATGGGTTGTTTATGAATTTGAAGGACCAATAAAAAGGGATAAAAAATGTAGGTGCTTGATTTTAGGCCGGTAGCAGCCACCACAGGGTGTCCGTTCAGAACACGAGGAAGCAGTAGTTCCAGTTCAAGGTTTAATGAAGATCCACACACACACATACAACACCACTCTCTCTGATACTAATTGTGGTTCTGTAAAGAAAAGAGGAGAACTTAGGCTATAGCACAGTATGGGCAAAATATGCCTATTTGCATGTCAACAACTAAACAGGCTATGTGGACCCAAACAGATGATAGATGCACAAAGAACAATAGAGCAATGTAGAAATAACTACACATTATAAAACAACATAATAAGCATGAGTGATCTACAACTGAAAATAGCCTAGCACCACAGACAAATGCTAACAAATGCTAATGGTTAATAAGCATGCTAAATAGTAATGCATTCCGGATGCTAAAACTAACGCTAGCGGGAGTATGCAAGCTAGCTAGCTAACAAGTTTAACACAAATGGTACATATTTACAACATACACTATTTAGCTCCAAACAACAAGACATCAAGATTTTTGCAAACAGGTTGGTCATCAGAATGGAAACTACAGACTGCCTGAGGCCCTGCCTGGTCGGGTATTACACTAAGTCCCTGGGGAAAAGGCTGCTGATTGGCTAATACAATTATGATGATTGGTGTGACCTTATTCCAATAGGAAAACCAAAAGAAAGTTGGGGTCTTGGAAAGGAGATGAGCTGGCTGTTTTTACAAGGCTGAAATGAGAACCGCTGGACCTACAATTGAGGTCGGAGGTTTACATACATCTTAGCCAAATAAATTTAAACTCAGATTTTCACAATCCCTGACATTTAATCCTAGTAAAAAGTATGTTTTAGGTCAGTTAGGATCCTCACTTTATTTTAAGAATGTGAAATGTCAGAATAATAGAAGATAATTATTTATTTCAGCTTTTATTTCTTTCATCACATTCCCAGTGGATCAGAAGTTTACATACACTCAATTCGTATTTGGTAGCATTGCCTTTAAATTGTTTAACTTGGGTCAAACATTTCAGGTAGCCTTCCACAAGCTTCCCACAATAAGTTGGGTGAATTCTGGCCCATTCCTCCTGACAGAGCTGGTGTAACTGAGTCAGGTTTGTAGGCCTCCTTGCTCGCACACGCTTTTTCAGTTCTGCCCACAAATGTTCTATAGGATTGAGATCAGGGCTTTGTGATGGCTACTCCAATACCTTGACTTTGTTGTCCTTAAACCATTTTGCCACAACTTTGGAAGTATGCTTGGGGTCATTGTCCATTTGGAAGACCCATTTGCGACCAAGCTTTAACTTCCTGACTGATGTCTTGAGATGTTGCTTCAATATATTCACATCATTTTCCTTCCTCATGATGCCATCTATTTTGTGAAGTACGCCAGTCCCTCCTGCAGCAAAGCACCCCCACAGCATGATGCTGCCACCCCCGTGCTTCACGGTTGGGATGGTGTTCTTCGGCTATCCCTTTTTCCTCCAAACATGATGATGGTCATTATGGCCAAACAGTTCTATTTTTGTTTCTTCAGGCCAGAGGACATTTCTCCAAAAAGTACGATCTTTATCGCTATCTGCAGTTGCAAACCGTAGTCTGGCTTTTTTATGTCGGTTTTGGAGCAGTGGCTTCTTCCTTGCTGAGCGGCCTTTTCCGGTTTGTCAATATTGGACTCGTTTTACTGTGGATATAGATACATTTGTACCTGTTTCCTCCAGCATCTTCACAAGGTCCTTTGCTGTTGTTCTGGGATTGATTTGCACTTTTCGCACCAAAGTACGTTCATCTCTAGGAGACAGAATGCGTCTCCTTCCTGAGTGGTGTGACGGCTGCATGGTCCCATGGTGTTTATACTTGCGTACTATTGTTTGTACAGATGAACGTGGTACCTTCAGGCGTTTGGAAATTGCTCCCAAGGATGAA